TTTTCAAAAGGGGCTTTCAGCCTGAATGCAGTTCTCAAGCTTAGTTCTCACTAAGGTTGTGTATACTGTAATGAACATGATACTATCTAACTTAGTGAATGTCCATCTTAAAACCCCTGGGGTTCTAAACTCCTTAACTGCGACCTCCAGGGAATGGGCCGTGATCTTAAGATCATGACTCACTGTCAAATCCAAGATCCATGAGAAACTGGACCACGGGTACAGACACTATCCCTATACTATACCTATTTACCTTTGTATCACTAATTTAGGAGTTTTGAAGTATATATATGTATATCAGAGAAAGCATATGTATAATGCAAATCTAATTAAACTAATAATGTAAAGTTAACTTCTATATTTGTGTTTAGGATATAAATATGTGAAACCCAATATAACTGTTTTTATTCAATGTGAAAGATAAAATTTTCACTTTTATTTTCTAGATGTTTAACATGACAACAACAAAAAAAACATTGAAAGAGATCTGACTTGAATATTTTAATACCTACGTTAAATGAAGAAAAAAAACACATTTACAATCATAATGACTCATTACAATTTTATAGTAGGTAACTTTAGATATTACAAAGAGTACAGATTAAGTAATTAACATTGAAATTGAATCTACACTAATCGACTTTCAAAAAGTTCTAATTTGAACTAATAAATTACTCCTGTAACTCCTCGTGGAGGAGTATAGACCATCCACCAGCATTCTCCATCCATCCCTGTCGTGGGAAATACTTTCTAGTTATTTCCAGTTGTTATTCATCCTTTTCATATCTATTTCTATTTCTCGATTTTGATGTGTGATTTGGCCTTTCGCTTTTCCACTTCCATTCAGGATTCCAAATGAGGACTTACATCGTGATGTAATTTGATGATTTCCTCAATGTATGTCCTATCCATTTCCATCGTCTTTTCCTAATCTCCTTTCCAACTGGAAGGTGGACTGTCCTCTCCAACAGAATGGTGTTGGGTGAACTGATTGAAGACTATGAATTTGTCATTAACAAATGAAAAATTTTGGACAAAATTGTTTATCTTATTAAATTGTTTTGTTTTTTCGATAGTAAATTACTTTACATTTGTTCTTTCATCATACTCATCTATCTAATCAAGATACTTTTAAACTATTCTTCTGATATTTAGAATCACGTCATTTCATCCGGTTCAGCAACACTCTGTTGAAGACCTTCCCTGGTATTGACAGCAGTGTAATGCCCCTGTAGTTTTCACATTTGCTCAGATCTCCTTTCTTTGGAATCTTGACGAGGTGCCCTTCTTTCCAGTCCATCGGCACTTGTTCCTCCTCCCAAATTTTTTTGAATAGAAGACAAAAAATGTTTGTAGTCACTTCGATGTCTGACTTCAGTGCTTCAGCTGGTATGTTGTCGGGTCCCGCTGCTTTCCTGTTCTTGATTCGTCTGATGGCCATTCTGATTTCTTCCTTCGTTGGTGGGTTGACGTCTATGGGAAGATCTGTGTGTGCCGCTTCGATGTCCGGTGGGTTCATTGGAGCTGGCCTATTCAGGAGTTCCTCGAAATATTCTACCCATCTGTTCCGCTGTTGTTGAATTTCGGTGATTGGCTTACCTTCTTTGTCTTTGACCGGTCTCTCTGGTTTACTGTATTTCCCTGATAGTTTCTTCGTTGTATCGTAAAGCTGTTTCATATTTCCTTCCCTAGCAGCTTTATCCGCCATCGTTGCTAGTTCTTCCACATATTTCTTCTTGTCGGATCTAATGCTCCTCTTCACTTGTTTGTTTGCTTCCGTTTATTCAGCTTGTGCTTGGACTATCCCTGCTCGTGTTCGGCTGCTGTTAATTGCTGTCTTCTTGTTCTTCCTTTCTTTGATCTTGTCCAGAGTTTCTATCGAGATCCACTCCTTATGATGCTGTTTCTTTAGGCCCAGAACATCTTGACACGTTGAAGTTAATGCTTCTTTGATACTTTTCCAGTTATCCTGCATAGTAGTTTCTCCTTCTTTCAGTAGATCTTGTAAGGCTTGGAACCTGTTGTTGAGAGCTATCTTGAATTCATTGAGTCTGTCAGTATCTCGAAGGAAGGCTGTATTGAACCTTTGTATTGCTGTTTGTCCACTTGTCCAGTTCTTTTTTAGCTTCAGTTGTAAATTGGCCACAACTAGGTGGTGATTTTAAGCTATGTCAGCTCCTCTCCTGGTTCTCACATCTTCCATTGTCCTTCGGAATTTTTTGTTGATGTAAATATGATCTATCTGGTTCTCTGTAGTGTAGTCCGGTGAGATCCATGTAGCTTTGTGTATACGCTTGTGTGGAAATATTGTGCCTCCTGTGACCAATTTGTTGAATGCACATAGATTTGCAAATCTTTCTCCATTTTCGTTTCTTTCTCCCAGTCCATGTCGTCCTATAATATCTTCATATCCAGTGTTGTCTATTCCAACTTTGGCATTTAGATCTCCCATGAGAATGGTGAGGTCCTTTCTTGGGCATTTCTCGATGACTGACTGCAGCCGCTCGTAGAACTTATCTTTAATGTCGTCGTTACTATCATTGGTGGGTGCATAACATTGGATAATATTCATTGTGATCCTCTCCTTTGTTTTGAACGATGCTTTGATGATTCTGAATCCGTGAGATTCCCATCCTACAAGTGCATTTCGTGCTACTTTGGACAGCATTAGAGTGACTCCCTGAGTGTGTGGAGCATTCTCCTTTTCGTGACCGGAGTATAGCAGCATCTCTCCCGTAGCTAGCCTTTTCTGTCCAGCTTGGGTCCAGTGGGTTTCGCTGATTCCCAGTACTACCAAACTGTATCATCATTTCCGTTTCTATTTGATTGGTCTTCCCGGTCTCCCACATTGTTCGGACGTTTCATGTACCTATCAAAATTATTGTTCTGGTTGTCAGAAGGGGCATCGGCCTCGTGGCTTCCGAAGGAACTCGGCTTTCACCATGAAGCCTCATAATTCTTATAAAAGAAAACCATCTAACTCCCAGGTCAGAGTTAAAATGGTTTGAATTATTTTTTCTGGTAAGCGTTTTTTTAGCGAGTTAGTTTTCTACAGGATGGGGAAGCTAACCCCATGCCCAACCCTCCTCCTTTACCCGGGCTTGGGACCGGCAGTAACTCTAGAAGAGCTACAGGCGGAGTTAAAATTTATGTACGAGTAAGTTAATGATAAGATTTTTTCACAATACATGCAAAGAAACCAAAATACTCATTATTTGTATTATTTACATGATTATCATTGACTGGTAAACAAGTTTTATATTTTTTCTTTCATACAGGTTGTTGTATGCATTCATTTGTAAGAGTTGTGATTGATCAGTTTCGTTCAACATATGATCTTCATGACTGGATTGCTTTGGAGTTGCCAATAAGTAGAATTAAACTTCATCCTTGTTTCATAATTCACTGGGTAGTTAGTTTCAGTAGCTTAGTGGAGAAGGCTGTAGGTGCTTGAAACGAGGGGTACTAGGTTCGATTATTAGGAAATATATTTACTTCAAGATGTCGGTGCATTCAATTAACGAGTCCGAAAAAGGAGAGTACCAGTAAACCGAGTTCCACTATCAAACACGATCAAACGTTTTTCTTTGAAAGATTAATATTTACTGACTAATTTTCTCATTTAATGTAAATTGTTTGTTTGATTAATATCTGATTTTATATATAGACTTTCTCACAGATAAATTTGATTAAAATACATATGACAAACGTAACAACTACTTGCAAGCCAAACAGAATGGTATTGATTTCATAAAGACGTTATTTATACTCTATATCGTAGTATCAAAAAGGTTCACAATAATATAGATTAATAAGAAGAGAAGCAAATATGACTTACTTAGTTGCGCCTATTACTTACAGTGAAGCATAGGTCGTCGAACCAGCATTATCCAAGCAAGTATGGAAATACTATAAAAAATGTTCAAATGTTAAATTGTGTAAAGATTGATTTCGACAAGACAAGCTGTTAGTCATATGTGGAGAAATTCGAATATTTCACTTCTACCTGAATATGATCTTACTCAATATATATGAAATGTGATTAACAGTTCACTGTGCATCAAAGCAGATTACATTTATCATTATCATTTTAACGTCGACTACTTGTAAGATTACAGCTAACAATTTGATAAACTAAATACATGGGGGAAAATATAACATAGGAATCACTTACAATTGAAGGATTTGGTTGTAAAACTTTTATACAATTCAAATATATCAGTAATGAATACATTTTGTGAAGATGATATCATTGCCTTCGGTTCATTCATACTTATTCCTATGTTGTGGAATATGACTGCTGTTAGTCACTGACATCTAGTAGATCATACGGCTCAACCTTAAAAATGAGAAAAGTTACCTGTCTCAATAAACCAACACACAAAATGTAAGAACATTGCCTTCATTTATTAACCTGTGACGAATACAACGTGTAAATCAATCTAATCTCCACAAAACTTCAACTCAATGAAAAACGATGCATCGTTCGCATCTCATCAGTTTTGAGGTCAGATCATTGTGATATCAAGTTGAAAATGCTACTTAATTTTAATAAGTATCTAAGTTTAATGGTAACAATTTATGAATAAATAAGTGGCTTTGTTTTATATTCAACAGTCGTACACTGTAAAATGAAGAATTATCTATTGAACAGTTGGTTTATTTACTTACATTACGTTTGTTACTCCCAATGGAGCATAGGCCGCCAACTACTATTCTCCAACCCACTCTATCCTGAACCTTCCTTTCTAGTACTATTCAATTGTTGTTCATTCTTCTCATGTCAGTCTACATTTCTTCGTGTAATATGTTCTTTGGTCTTCCTCTTCACCTTTAGCCTTGAGAATTCAATGTGAGAGCATTATTCATTGGAAAGATTGGTCTACCTAGAATTGATGATTATTGTAATCATGCAAAACTACAATACATAATCATAGAATTAGATTCCTTTCACTAGTCACATGTATTGCACCATATAGAATTCGTGAAAAATAAGCATACAATAATGTTTTACATAGTGAATTACATCAATGATTATCTACATAATACATAACAGTATACATATCAATCTATCAAAAGCTTATTGACATTTGTTATGCGTAGGCTAAACTCATTCATTTCTTCTTCTTCTTCTTCTTCTTTTCACTCAAATACAGGCTCATTGGCAAATCATCAACAAAAAATGACATAATCAGCAGGTATGAAATTTAATTAAAAGTCAATTTCGAATGGATTCCATGTGAAATTCATCAACACCAATAGAGATTTCGTGAAAACAACAAAACTCTTGTGGCAATTCCTCTACAAAATCATCATCCAGTTCAAAATCATGTATTTGTCAATAGTTGGACGATATTCAACAAAACTATTCGTTTTCTTCAATTGTCTTTTTATTGTAAGCGATAATTTCTATTGATTTGTTTTTCTGCTATTCTATTCATTTCATTCTTTATGATGCATTATAGACAATTGGCAGTATTGTGGTTGTATACGGCATGAAACTACCAACCAATCTATTTGGATATAAGAGGATTTTGCAAGCATCTATACCACCTATCTTCCTAACTGCTATTTTCTCAGGAAGTCTTGGTATATTAGCTGCATGCATCGGAATATTAGCAATATTGAGTGAAAGAAACATGATCATGTATCTGGTAACCATTGAAATATTAATGCATATGCATATGCATTTCTATCCAACTTTTACGTTTAGCATCTATGTACTTTGACCATTGTAATACTTATGGAAATAGGCATAGCATTGACATCCTCTTTAATGAAAGATCAAGTTAGTTCATGTCTGACATTGTACGTTGACTTCTAATTACTTTCACGTATACAGTTCTTCACTGAAGCTCATCGTTCGTTAAATACGAATGTTAAACAATATTGGACAAATCTTCGTTATCAAATAGAATTTGATGATTTACAAACAACAGTAAGTAAATAAAACATCGGTAAATATGTTAACTCTCCAAATACAGTTCCGTTGTTGTGGGGCTGATTCATCCAACGATTATCCACATGTCGAACAACTTATACCGATTTCATGCTTGTCTGGAATAAAACCATATTCGCTGGTAAGTAAATGTTTGATTGTTGTAAAACACTCTAATTGCATATGAACCCATCGAAAGCTTCCAATTCTGAAAGGACTTTCAACATCGAATAGGTAAATGTCTGAGGAAATGTTTGACGAATCATCTCTGCACGTTATTCTTGACAAATATAAAGCGATATCCGTGCTACAATAACCAAGATTTGTCCAGTGCTTGAAATATCCAGTTAATCTATTCAAAAATATACATTTTACACTATGGTTTAACACGCTTCCTACATATTCTTAACACATTCTATTCACAACAAATCGATTGATCATATCTACGTAGGAAATTATTAATCTTCTCACAATTGGTCTGCAACACATGACCAATGCATATTTGTAACGTTCAGTCTCAAGTTCACAGATGCTGAAAATTTACATCGTGAGATCCTCATTTCCTTGTTCATATACTTGTCATGTTAACGTTGTCCTATCCATCTTAACTTCATTTTGTGTATATTCAAATAAATTTACTAGGACGGAAAGGCCATCCGGTGCTTTCAGGTTTCTAATGGTGATCTAACATTGATCGATTCATGCTCTCAATCAGAACTCATCCATTTCCACAACTGTATACTGAAAATAAATATACGTGAATTTATGAAGTAGGATACAGAATGAACACTGAAGAACAAGACACCTTGGTTGGATGGAAGTTAATGTAAAAACACGTTTAATAACATTGTGCAGAGAGATTTCACAGCAACCCATAAGTTCCATTGAGTTCACATGTTGACAATCGAAGCAACATAGTAACATCATTTAATTTAAGTATATCTAATGGAAAATTCCATTTGCTGTTCTCTCTAAGGCTTATGTCATTTACATCTTAATGTCGGCTTTTCAAAGAAGGACCATATTTATCAATCTGGTCATTGAAAAACCTCCATCGAAACACATTATTAACATAGTCGATACAAATGGATCACTTATGTGAACACAGCAGCACACGTTTCAAAGAAAATGCAATTTTTGTTTGATTTATAGAAACATTTAATTCAGAACGAATGAACATTACTTGATTTTCGGATGCAGTGCTCATATCTTATTCGATACACCTTCATAGGGAAGGAGGTGTAACTTGTTGAATCATTTCATGCAAACTAAATTCCACATATCACATTCAACATTTTCATCTCAAGCTTACCAGTTATTCGTCATTCACTCACTGCTTTCCATGACTCGAAGACGAATATTGTAATCAACAAACCAACCAACCATCGTTCTCTATGATCAGATAGATGGTTTATTCACTTGTTTTGAATATGACATGTCACTAAACATTTGTTTCTTCACAACTATTCATAATTAATTAACACTATATAGTTTCTTTATTTAACACATATAGGGATGCATTGATGCATTGAATGAATTTGTACAATACTACAAAAACATCCTGATCTATTTATGCTTCAGTTTTGGAATAATTCATGGTATCTACTTGATGTTCTCAGTTGTGATGGTTTGTAAATCTAAACATGGAAACATTCGATCGACACAAACCTCTTGTTGAAATAAAACGAAGACTACTGATGAGGATTGAATGTCGGCCGAAATTGCGCATGAATAACACTTAACTATTGTTGATAACACACTATTACACTTTTACATAACACTTGTTTCACCAATTTGTAACTTATACATTTCATTTGTGTAATAAATCGCGCTACGATTACAGAGTTACATAGTGAAATTTAATAATCATAGTCTAACACTTTATTTACAAAACGTTCATTGACTGCTTCAGACTTTATTTTTCTTGCGTTACTATACCAATTGCTTTCTATTATTGTTCTTGTCTTCTTGATCTTCTTAATCTTCTGTTGTCTGGCATTCTCTTCCTGATTTGCGTTATATACTACTTATGTTGTTATAAGTAGCACAAACCACAAAACTCGTATAATTTATAGTAGCTTCATCTGTACACCTATTAAAGACTGAAATATATTTCACTGTAATGAAAGAACTACATTGATAGGATGGATTCACTGATAGTTGTGATAGCAAATATCTTAATATTTGCGGCCTGATTGAGTATCTGAGCCCTCAAATGCCCTGGTATGGCCGAGAGCGGTGAGGGTTCTCCCTCCCTCTCGAAAATCTCTCACACGGCCACTCGTATATAGCCTCTGCCACGGAAGCCCTGCTCACTGCCTTCTCGTGGCACTACCGTTGTTTACGAAAATCAGAGGACGAAAAGCGAATGTCCGGCGCGTTAACCGGATTCCAAATCAATGGTGCACGTGGGCACCAGTATCCTGCGGGAACAAATGGTGTATGAACCAATTTTCGGTCAACGGCTACCATGGGACTGCATCTCCTTACGATGCTCCACTGTGTTATGGTTCGTTATTCGCTTGAATGCTATTACTGATGCGTCTTACTCAACAGAACGAAGGATCAATGACTCAGCGACTCGATAGCTATTCTGGTTCGTTGTCCCCAACTCTGCTAACTCGATCAAAGAGTCTGGGTAAGGTGTAGAAAGTGTATTCTACAAACACACAGCAGATAACAAGTCAAGTCAAACACACAAATCAACCTTATTTATACAAATATTTACAATCGATATTATCATACAAAATTTTTAAACACTAATCAATGAGTTCATTAATTGACCGCTATTTAACATTTAATCGATAGTTCATCAATTGACCTATTTGCACATCTAATCGATAGGTTCATCAACTGACTGCCATTCAAACATTTAATCGATAAAATGATCGATAAGATAAAATTTAAAAATATGAGTTTGGGGATCTATCGTCCCCAACACACTGCCTTGTGGGTTAGACCTTTAAGTCAAAGGCTCGGGGTGTGGCCCCCTAAGATAACCACCTGCTTCGGTCTGGGCACCCGGACAGTATCGCAGCCTACACACTAATGATGAACTGTACTGTCGATGATTATGGAAACTAATTCTCTTGCTTCAACTAACGATCAAATGATTCAAATTATTACTATTATTATTATTATTATTATTATTATTATTATTATTATTATTATTATTATTATTATTATTATTATATTACTTTTGTTGTTATCATTATTACTATTATTATTATCATCGTTATTTATGACATCATTATTGACCCTCTTTTATTCCTACTCTGTTTATACTTATTTTTTCGACTTATACAGCAGCTCGTCTATGGTGGAAATTCGACTGTATCTAAACGTTCTCAAGTCACTGTCCGGTTGAAAATTGTATGTTACCACCGAATATGAGTGCTGAAGCAGTTTTTCTGAAATCACGTGCACCATTCAAACTGGCTGCCTTCAGCGTTCGCACATTTATGCAGGTCGGACAACAGATAGGGCTGGCTATGTCTTTGGAAAGTCTTAATATTGATGTTTGTTGTCTATCCGGGGCCCATATTCAAAACCCTAGTGAAGTACTACAAATTCGCTCTCCATCTGTCGCTTCAAAAAGCTTGTTTTACGTGCGCTTATCCAGGGACCCTGTGGCATCTTCGTCTGTTCTTGCTGGCGTTGATGTCGCACTAAGCGCTAGAGTTGAGGCAGCACTAATCGATTGGATCCCCATTGACAGTCGGTTATGTGCTGTTAGATTAGAGAGTTCCATCAAAGTGATAGGAAATCGGCGTAAGAAACGATGTCTTTTCATCATCTCCGCCTATGCTCCGACGGATTGCAGCGCGGATGCAATCAAGGATGAGTTTTACCACCAGTTATCTGTTCTTCTCCAGAAAGTGCGTTCGACAGATATTGTAGTACTAGCCAGAGACTTGAGTGCTCAGGTCGGGCGTCTAGGCACAGAAGAGAGTCGTTTAGGTGGCCGATGCGGACTTGTTGGTCGCAGGACAGATAACGGGGACCGTCTACTGCAACTATACACAGACCACAACCTGTTTCTGGCTAGCACTGCCTTTCGGCACAGTCATCGCCGATGTACCACCTGGCGTCCTCCCTATGCATCTCAAGCCTGGATTCAGATTGATCACATCGCAATCAGCTACGGCTGGCGTGGTTGTGTTCAAGACTGCCGCTCCTTTTGGAGTGCCTAAATGGACTCTGATCATGCCTTGGTCTGCGCCAATCTCACCTTACATTTCAGTGGCCAACGAATTGACTGCCATTAACGGATTGATGTTAGCAAGCTGGTTGCAACTTCTGTTGCAAGTAAGTATCAACGTCATGGAATGAGTCGATAGTTGTCCCTATCTTGAAAAAGGGTTCACGTCGTTCCTGTAACAACTATCGGGGGATAAGTCTACTTCCGATTGCGTCCAAGCTATTGGCTTCCGTTATACTTCGTAGGTCGTTCAAAACCCGGGAAAGATTGACTCGCGAGGAGCAGGCTGGGTTTCGTTCTGGTCGAGGATGTATTGATCATATCTTGACCCTCCGCTAAATGTTAGAACACCGTCATACTTATCAAAGGCCAATAATCGTAGTATTTCTTGACATCCGGGCTGCCTTCGATTCGTTGGATAGGATTGTTCTCTGGGATTGTCTATTGAAGAATGGTGTGCTTGAGAAGTTTACTAACATCCTAAAAGACCTATATACAAACACCTCAAGCAGAGTGAGAGCCACCTTTCTCCATTGTTCCATTCGAGCAGTGGGGTTAGACAGGATTGCCCAATCTCACCATTCCTCTTCAACTTTGCCATCGACGACATTCTGGAAACGGCTCTGATGGATGTAAGTAATGATGGTGTGGATCTGTTACCTGGAGAAAGACTTCTCGATTTTGAGTATGCGGATGATATTGTCTTATTGTGCGATAATGCCTAAGCCATGCAATCCGCATTTAATCAGTGTCCGTAAGTATGGCATGTGCTTCACACCTTCGAAGTGCAAAGTACTTCTACAAGACTGGCAGGATTCTAACCCTGTACTCACCCTAGATGGTGAGCAGATAGAAGTAGTCGAGAAGTTCGTGTATCTGGGTAGCCGCATAAGTGCTGGTGGGGGTGTGAGTGATGAGATCAATGCACGTATAGTGAAAGCCAGAGTGGCTTATGCCAATCTGGGCCATCTTTGGCGCCTTCGTGATGTTAGTCTGGCTGTAAAAGGTCGGATCTACAACGCGTCGGTGAGAGCAGTTTTGCTCTATGCTTGTGAAACCTGGCCTCTCCGAGTTGAGGACGTTAGACGACTCTCTGTGTTTGATCATCGTTGTCTCCGAAGGATTGCTGGCATCCAGTGGCAACACCATGTTAGTAATGCAGAGGTTCGGCATCGTTTGTTCGGGCACAGAGACGATAATGCAATTGGTGTCACCATCTTGAAACACCGACTTCGGTGGCTTGAAAATGTTCTACGAATATCGTCCCAGAGAATTCCACGTCGTGCATTATTTGCCGACTCTGGGACTGGTTGGAAAAAGTGGAGAGGTGGTCAGTATATGACATGGTGTTGTGGTATGAAGGAAAGCTCCAAAGGACTGGCTTGTGTTGGTCCTTCACGACTCCCTGGTTGGGGTCCGAGAGATGTTACAACACAGTGGCGATCCTGCTGTGACCTTCTTTTACTTTCTTCGTAAAAAGTGTTTGTCTCTTCCTTAACTGAAAGAATTCGTTCTGATTGTACCTTTCCGTTCCCCCATTTTTACCATTATTATTATTACACAACCCTACATCAATCTCTTCGTTATTATTCTCTCTTGTTTTTTCTTTTCCTTCCCCTTAAATTCTCATTGTTTTGTGTGGCGCGTATATCTTTGGTGCACTGCTGTACCAATATATATATGTTCAAATAAATAATAATAAATAAATAATCTGGGCTACTTGTCCCTGCTATTTAGATATTTCAACAAATTATCTATTTTTGTGTATTTTAACACATCATTATATCTGGTAATCAGTTGAGCTATTCAGGTGCTTCTATGAAATGTTTACAATCTTTCGCTGTAAAAGTTACAAAAGTGCCTATTAAGAGACATAGTGATTTTTGAGAATATTCAGTGAAAACAATGTACATTATTCGGATGTCGATTCTTAAAATGCTAACCTCTAACTGGCGACCACTCAATATGTTATCGTCTGAATCGACCAATAGTTAAGAAAATTGAAAACGTTTACGTTCTACCAAGAATATAAATTTAAAAAAAACTAATAATAATAAAATTGTAGTAATAATATTAATGATTCTTTGTTTTTACACCGAACAGAAACAATACAAATCAGTGTATTATCGGAAAATCCATCAAAATTATTCAACAAACGCTGTTCTCCGCCCTAGGTTAAAATTGTCTGAAACCACTATTAATTCTTTTGATGCCTGTCCCCGATTCCCGAAGCAAACTGTTTATTGGCGGTGCGCTTTACCTTTCACTTCAGGGCCTCAATTTTGCAGTTTGATGGTTTCGTTAATGTATATCCTACTCACCACTTCAGACATCCTTTTCAGATGGAAGTTGGCTTGTTCACTCCCACAGTAGGCTGCTGCTGATGATATCCGTTAAACGGACATTGAATATCTTGTGTAGACAATTGTTTATAAGTACTTGTAATATTTTGATGATCATTGTGGTAGCACTCCAAGTCTCATCTCCGTACAGTATAACTCTTTTGACGTTTATATTGAAGATTCTGACTTTGATGTTGGCTTGCAGACAGCTGTTTTGCGTTTCATATTTTGTTCGATTGTATAAATGCTGTCCTTGTTTTGCCAATCCTTGCCATTACATCTGCATCGGATACTCATTGGTCATCGACGATGCCACCCAGATAAGTGAAACTTTCCACCTGTTCCAGAGTTTCTCCATCAAGCCTGATTGGGTTGGTGTTCTTAGTGTTGTATGTGAGGATCTTGCTCTCTCCCTTGTGTATGTCAAAGTCTACTGATGCTGTTGCACTGGCTGTCTTCACAAGCATTTGTTTCCTTGTATGGCATAGAATAGCTGAATCATCTGCAAAATCCAAATCATTTAACCATATTCAAGC